TTAGGAAATTCGGATGTTGGTCGTCTTTAGTTACGTTTTCTGTCAAGATGATCCCATACTGCCTTAATGTTCTGCATTTATGATGTTACTTTTGGTAACTATTGGTAAATAGCTAAACAACTAATAAGGTCTCTGGTGTACAGTATATACCATTTGAATGAAATGAATATTTAGTTTATAAAAACATAAAACATTCACTATAATTTCCAATTTTACCAATATAAGCAATAAGGGCGCGAGACTGGAAAGTCATGGGGCAATTTGTTCCATGTTAAGCCTGACTGGCTAATCAATGATGCAGGAGGACTGCCCACATTATGAAGTAATTAAGAGATCATTTGGAGCAACAAACTGGGCCCTTCTGCCATTCCCCATCTGACCCAACTAAGAGTTCAAGAATCAAGAGCTAGTATTTATGACCAGAGGCTACTTAAAGAGACACGTGTTTCCTCATATCAGTTGCTTCCTATAATTAAACACAGAGGCAAGAAATGGAATCATAAATGTGGGGATTTTTGCTCTCTGTGGATGTAAGAGAGCCTGCTGTGATGTCTGCATTATCTTAATCTTTGGGGAGCTCTGCTACTGACTGTTGTGGTTTTCAAAATAAACTGGATTCTGTGGATTGTGGGTCACACAGCTGAATGGGCATTTTGGAGGATCTTTGTGCTTATTCAATAGCTAATAATTCCATATATGTACATATATATATATATAAAACTTCAAGCGCACTGCATTAGCTACTTCTCCACATAGAATATGCATGAAAAATGACAAGAATTTATTTTTGGATGATTCATTTTCTTTCCATTCAGGAGAAATCCTTTTTGTGGTGCATGCTGCTTCCAAGCTTCCCCGCAGGTAGCATACACAGCCTCCTTGTTACACAAATCAAAGAGTGAGTGTGTCTGATATCTGAAGATAGGTATTCTGTCCTTCATCTAAAGGGCAACTGATATGGAGTGAGAGAGACAAAAAGCATGAAACTACAAGTATCATTACTCGACTTCAGCATTTTTAAAAAGACAAACCACACTGAAAACAGTGAGACCTCAGTGCATGACTTAATACAGAAAAGAAACAAAGGAGAACAAAGGTCTGATTTTTGACAAAGACTCCTTTGTGATACATGAGACCCCCATTTAGACTAAAAAATATGATTTTGAGCTAATTTGCTGACATTGAGAGCCACAGGTTATATTTTCCACTCCAATTGCTGGACTGCATCCACCATGCTTCATGAAGTGTTACCAGACAGTCATCCTGTGTTCCTGCCGCACTGCATGTGGCTGTGGCGAGTTGGAAAACGGAGACCCAGTCCATGTTTGACAAGGGGTTAATGTTTCTGAGGAACAGCTTGACAAAACCTCAGGAAGACAGCCAGTCTGGATAGAAGCACCAAGGCCTGTCTCTTGTCCAGTTTGTGGTTTGCCGCCTCCCGCCATCTTTTTCTTCTTCCTTCACTTCTTCCCTCTAGCCTTTCACTGAACTCAAAGGTTTTCCTCCCAAAACTTACACACTCATCAGCTTGGCTATAATTTTCAGTTCTGCACTAACCACAGGACCACTTGCGGGATGAAGCTGCACGCCTGTTTTTGAAATCAAAAGTAATAATATGCCTGCTAAGGATTCACATCTAACAGTTAATGATTGGACCTGTCGGACAAAAATTGTCAGTGCCGTATTCACCTTTACTTTCAACAAGCTGCGACAATCACAGGAAAACAGATGCGGCTGGCAGTATATATTATGTCTGTGCCACTGGCAATCTGTAAATGAACTTTAAAAACCACACAGGCTGATAAACCTGGGAGATACAGTACACTGAATCAGCAAAATGATGAGTAACAGCTTTACTTCAAGGCACAGTAAAGAAGCTCCTTCTGCTCAGTAAAAGCTACACTAGTCAGAATAATAACAAAGACCCACTGGCTATAATGCAAAAGGCACGAGGTAGGTTTGTATGATAGTCTTAAACTGTGCATTTGTAACGCTTGATTCAACATGTTAATGCGATTTCTTACCAGCTATGGCCAAACCAGGTCAGACCTGGAGGCCAAGGCCTTGTGGTCCCAGCTGATAGCCTGGACCAGCCTGTGCTGTGTCAGCCCTGGATTATGGATGACAGGGAGCCTGCGGGGCTGACAGGTAATAATTCACTCCCCAGGGGTCCCACATCCTTCGCTGGACACAACGCAACCAACCAGGAAAGAGCAGGGGGGAAGCAGCCTTGGACTTCACATCCTCATAACCCACCCTCTTTCCTTTTTCCAACCATGCCCTTCAAGAAGCCAAGCTCTCATTGCCTCCACAGTTGCCACGGGTTACCAGCCATTATCAAAATGAAATATGAGGTGCCACAGACCGGTGACTCTCTCAGGTACAGGGCCAAACAAAGTCCCATATGTTGCGGATGAGGAGTGGCGATTAACTGTTGCTTCCTGAAGCACGGCACTGCACCCACCCTTCTTTAGACATCAGCAGTTTCCCAAGTGCTTCAAGTCTAAAGCGCTTCAGACAATTTTGAACATGATGTGAAACAAAATTTATCCTAAAATATATTATCTATGCCCTCAAGTTCCACTGAGCTCAAAATAGGGCACAGCAATTTACCAACTTCAAATTCGCCTGAGGGTTTAAAGTGTCTTCATCAGTCCTGCTGAAGTTCGTCTTTTTTTCTTCTTCTGACCAATCCAAAGTGCAGACTAACTGTGTGTGTTTGTGTGTGTACATACGCCTACGTTCTGAGTACTTTATCTTGATGATGAAAATGGAAATAGGCTTGCTGAATGTCCCCCAAGGGCCACAGTCCTCAGCCCCTGGTTAGGAGCCTATTTCAACCATCATTACCCTGAGGACCATTAAGAAGATGCCATCTGCACACACAGGGCCCCTCCATCGGGGCTTCTTGTCACTTCAAACTAAAAGCAAGCAGCGGAATGGAAATTGGAAATAAAATTACACACTGCGCTAAATGCACCATTAACCATGCTAACTGAGCGACCGACCTATCAGGGCCTGAAAATGAGAGCTGGACGAAGAGCAAGCAATTTTCAGCAGTGACAGGGAAATGAACGCACTGCTGGTACTTTGCTCTCGCTCGCATTCGCAACTATAACTCACCCATCAGCAGAATGTGACTTTCCTAATGGTAAGAGAATGAAGAAAAATAAAAAACAAAGAGTTGGTTCATTGCGACTGTGGGCGACAACCACAAATGAGGTTTGTATGAACTGTGCACAGTACAGATGGGACCACAGACCACCCCTGCTGCTGCTTAACCATTGGATACGTTACACAGAAGCATTCCACTAGTCCTGCACAACAGCAGCAGCACCTTTCCTCTGGTTAGTGCACCAGTTACATGTCAAATAAAATAACCTGAAGGCACACTGCAATGTCCTCGCAGCAGCAAAGAGTGCCAAGTCATTGTACAACTAGGGTAGGAAACCGCAAGCCATTAGTGGCTTCATCATCCTATGATATCACTGCAGCAGCTGTGAGGAGTGGGGACAAGGCAAAAAAAAAAACCTAAAGAAGATCACAAGATCTAATCACACTTTCTGCTTAAACATCTGACTGCTCGAGGAAAACATCATGCAACAGCCAGAACAAAAAGGCACATGCTAGACAAGTAAGTGCTGGCTCTGCTGTTCAATCCAGGCAAAGCAACCCTTAAGCTGAACATGAATTTTTAAAATGCCTGGGAAACTTTTGCAAGGCTACAGATACAGCAAAGAGAAACGGCAGAAGCGGGCAGCCTTTGAGTTAAGCAAGAGGGCATGCAGTCTACAATATCACCTTGCAAGAGTCCAGGATCGAAAAGGCAGTGGTGTAGTCTGTCAGTGTTTATGCACAACAGAGATTTATTTATTGTTGAAATGTTCTTAGCCTCAACTGAAACTGAACACCCACTTAAGGAAATTAGAGGACTAATGCACAGCGGGCTGAGACAAATCGTGGTCTCCCTTTGTGCGGAGGACGGTTTAAAAGCAGCCACGAGCATCTATTTCAACATAAACATTCACCAGCGACTCCTAGGAAAGCAGGAGAAGAGGAGAAAAACACAGGTTTCCAATTTCTTTCTGCATCGTAGGCAACACTGAGGTCTAATGCAGGTTCTCCCGTTGAAACCTGTTAGAACAATGAGCTCATCGTTTTCCCTCCGAGTTTGGCATTAAGACAAGTAAGCGTGATTTAAGAGGTAAAATCTGTGCAGAGTGAGAGGGAGATGTGCCGTTTCATAATAATCCAACTGCCACGTAATTGCTGCTTTTCTTTTCCAGAAACTCACACTGATTTCCCCCCTCTATCTGATGGTGAAAAGGAAGCAAATTCTCCATTACGCACTAATCCCCCGCTTTTTTCCCCTTCTTTCTTTCTTTTGTTTTTCCACAATCAGGTCCTTGATAAACAAGTTTGGGCTGCTTCCGCCAGAAAATAAACCAAAAATTAAATTAGTGTCTCAGGCGAGATGCCAGTCAGAGACGTGTTATCGGTTGCTTATTTCTGATAAGTTGCAGCAACAAGAGAGAAAACGTGTGTGTCAGGGTTTCATATGACTATGCATATAGTTTTCGCTGCCGATGTTAACACGTCTCCCAAACCCGTCCATGATACACACACGAAAATAAAAACAAAAAGGAACAGAGCTACTGCAAAAAAAAACTATATAAAACTGGTCTAACCCTGGCTGATGTCAGATTGTAATTTCTGTTATTCAGTTACCAGTGCAGAAAAAAGGGGGACTTCGAAACACAGCCGAGAAAAACAGAAAAGCAGCGGCTTCTCCGGACCATATATGAAACTCCCGGAGAGTACAGGGACAGTTCAGGTTTATTAAAAGCGTCTGATATGTTGTTTTCAAGTGATTATCGTATTCACATGCCTAAATAAGCTCTCTTCTGTGGCAAACTTAAAGCATCTGTCTCGTAATGAGCAAAGTAAGCACAGCTGCAACAGCATCGCCAAAGTCCTCAACTAGTAAACGAACCACTTACCTTCGTGCTTCCACCTTGAAAATACACACGTCGCAGTGTTTCTGAGATACTGTCGCAGAGAACAAGCTGTAAAGTCTCGAGAATGACGAAGGAAAAAAAGCGGGGTTGTTAGTTTTAGCTAGTTGTTTCTGAAATGGTTAGTATTCCCAGAGCGCCAGCGTAGCGAAAAGACGCCCCTCACTGTTGTGACAGGACTGAAGCTGGTTAGACTGAAATCACAACACCTCGGCTGCAGCTCAGGCCACGCCCCCGTAGTGCTGTTTGACAGGGATTCAAACCAATCAACGAGTGAAGTTAGGATGAGGTTGCCTTCGATTGGCCAATGGAGCAGTTTTTTTTCGCTACGCCCCGCCCCTGTAACGCTCACTTTTCTCCCAGATGTTGAATGCCTCAGCACCAGGGTCCCCATACAGTTTAGCCAGCCAATCAGAGCGCGAGATACGGGGTTTAAACACAGATAATTTAACTTTATGGGAGGAGTTGAATCTATTTAAACCAATGTGAAAGTACTTTAGCCGCACTATTATCTTGCACATTAGCCGCACTATAGGGTATTATAAAATGTTTTTAGAGAATTATTTTTCTTAATTCGGGTGTTTTTTTTTCCAGTAGCATGACTATACTAAAACAAATTTAGTATAGTCATGCTAGTGGATTCGACTAATCTCTGCTGTTTGTACAGAATATACATGTATGAGTGAATATTGTTAGTGTAAGAGCCGTTCATTACAGTAATTATCAGTAATTAATATTATACATGAAGTGTTAGAAATATTAAATGTTAGAAAACAGTGAAAATACTCTTCTTTACGTCCTACAGAAGCTCTTTATACAGTTTTTTATTTTGCCTTGCTAACACTCTTAAACCTTAAGATATTCAGCTTAAATGGCTATAAAGCAGAGGATAAAATCAGTTGTAGATGCTGGAACTAACTAAAAGACTTTCAGATCATTTTGGTTTGTGTTCCACAAATATTTTAATTTCATACATAACACATTCACATTTCAATAGGGGATGCTACACTATGAAACATGTGCATGTAAGAGTCAGTATCCTACTGAGGAAAATAGCTGAGTATAATCTGAAGAAGGGAACAAAATGTATCCACAAAAGTTAATCAGCTGTGATGCTGATGTGCCATGCATTGCCAGAAACACTAATAAGACACCTGTGTAGAGACGGCAGCGCTGAGGAATTTGGTTTGACTGCGTGTTTGTTTGATGATAATCTAATAGATGACCATGGACTCTGTGTCTCATTCATCTCTAGCCTTCATCTACTGCATTACCATTTCAGTCAGTCTTTCTTGTCAAAATGTTCATGAGTTATACACAGGACAATAGTTCAAGTGGCCTCTGTGCTATGATACTAACTGCTCTGGTAGTCGGATAAATGAGGGGCCCTTCTCTCAGGTCCTACTTGTTTATTAGATCTCTGTTTGGCCTCGAGCCGCAGAAAAAAAATGGATGTGCCTTGGGTTAGCTGTGACTCAACACCAGCAGATTTACTCCAGACATTTCTTTTGGCAGTGCGATGCTGCCTGTTGTGTTGAAGGGCTTTTGAGGAGAGGGAGAGGACACAAGCTCAGAGGGCCATGATTTACATGGATTTGGTAAATCTTTGGCAACTTTCACTTCACCACAACATTTGCAGTGGTTTTGGCAGTAGAGAGGCTTGAAAGATTGGCAAACATGTTTTTCTTATTTTATTGTTTTCCTTAAATAAGCGGGTCAGTGGTTAGAGCCTTAATGTAAATAACTTTGTAGCCTAGGGATGTGGTGGTTTCTCAATAAAGACCATTTCATGCGTAGAGGACATCAAGGCCACTCTGACAAAATAATTGCTGGGCTGACAATAACCATAGTTCAGCATTTCAGGTTACGCATCTGTTTAATTTGATAATAATTATTTGATAATAATACATCTCTCACTCTGTCAATCCAACCGTTATTTCGCAATGACATTTTAAATACGGGGCAGATCATTTTCTTTCTGTGACTCTCTGCATACAACGAGGATTGAACTTGACTTTTTGCCTTCTTATCTAACGAAAACACACAGCAAATACAACAAAGGTGTTGAGAGATGTAAACACAGTAACCGGTGGGAAAATGGGAGCAGTGGTTTCAGCTGTCATCATCGTCATCATTCAAGCTGATGCTCATTTGTTTACACAGAAACAAGGATGTTGTTAGACTAAACCGATATGAGCACACGTATGGCACAGCAGGCCTATGTCTTAATTATTTTTCTTGCTAAAATTTGTTCAATTCTACTTTAACAAATTTGGAAAATTATTTGTGTGTTTACATCAGACAAGTGGAATATATACAGTAATATACAACTGTTTTAGCTATTTAACATGTTCAAAGTTTAATCTCACTATTTGGTTAGTTTTTAAGTTCATTCTGCACCATTTAGTGAGAATCACGAAGAATTATTTGTAAGAAGCACTGCAACAGATTGCATGGAGCCCCCACAGTCCCTATCACGGCCTCATCAAGTGATTTTAGGATTACAAAAAAAGACAGATGCGACTCAGAATAGATACCCAGATCAACTGAGGAAGGATCGCCAAGATTTTTGTAACAACCAACTTGAAAACTGTGCACAAGAATACCAACAAATTCATTCAGGAATTTTCTCCTTTTTGAGGGAGCTTTAGCCCTTTGTCCATCCTTGGTTTTCCAACATATAACAATAAAACACTTCAGTCATTCTCCTGACATGATGGTACCATCACACCATGATATGATCCTGTGATATTTGATATATCACAAGACAAAAAAATCTAGAACACATTGCAGCAACTGTAAATGAAGAAGAAAAATAAGAGAACAAAGACAGACATAATGAACTGTGTATAAATTTACTGCTTTTGTCAGCATACACCGATCAGCCAAACATTATGGCTCCCTGTCTACTATTGTGTTAGTGCCTCTTTTATTGCCAAAACAGCCCTGATCTGTCGAGGCATGAACTCTAAGTTGTGAGGTGGAGCCTCTATGGATTAGAGTTGTTTGTCCAGTGTATCCCACAGATGCTTGATTGGACTGAGATCTGGAGAATTCCAAGGACAAAGTCATTGTTGTGATCCTCAAACCATTCCCGAACCACTTTTCTTTTGTGGCAGGGCACATTATCCTGCTGAAAGAGGCCACAGCTAGGGAATACTGTTTCCATGACAGGGCATGTGTGGTCTGCAACAATGCTTATGTAGGTGGTACATGTCAAAGTAAAATCTACGTGGATGCCAGGATCCAAGGTTTTTCAGCAGATTGTGGGTCACAGCATCGCGCAGCCTCTGCTGGTTTGCCAATAGTGTATCCTGGTGCCTAATGTTCGCCAGGTAAGCAACCTTGATGATTCAAAAGGTAACATAAATCATCAGATCTGGCTATGCAGCACCATATGCAATAAACTGTGATGCTTTGTGTATTCTGACACCTTTCTAACACAACCAGCATGAACTTTTTTTGCACCTTTTGGATCAGATCACACAGGCCAGCCTTCGTTCCCCATGTGCATCATTGAGCCTTGGCTGTCAGTGAGCCTGTGGTTGATAGATACTTTTGATAGATATTGACCACTGGAAAAAAACCCACTAGAGCTGCAGTTTTGGAGATACTCTGATCCAGAAATCTAGCCATCACAATTTGACCCCTGTCAAACTCCCTCAGATCCATATGCCTGCCAATTATTTCTGCTTTTAACACATCAACTTTGAGCACAAATGTTCTCTTTTCTCTCTAATGTATCCAACCCACTAACAGGTGCCACGATGAAGAGATAAACAGTGTTATTCACTTCACTTGTCACTGGTCTTAGTGCTATGCCCGATCAATGTAATTTCAGTGCTGTCTCGATTCATTTATCTTACACCACTGTCCACCAGTTCACACCTGTCAGTGTGTTATTTTTACTTAAAGTTAGTTAACTTCTGTTTATTATACCCTCTACATTTTCCTTGCCAAGACAGGAATCCAACATTTAATAGACATGTTTTTATTTGCCACTAATATATCCACTGCATATTACAAGACAGCAATACTGGAGGTTGCGTTAAACATTGGCCTGTTGCAATATATTACAACGCTGTATAACATTTGTTCAACTAAATGCATTTCTTTCATGTTAAAATTGTAAAAACTTTGAGGTAATCAGGATTTCTAAATGAGAAATACAATTTGTACTTGTTTTTTTATAAGTTAAATGTATATTTATTGATATAAAGTGGTAATATGTTGTTGATGAAATCGCAGGATTAATCACTTGGTCCATTTCAGTGAAAGGCTTGCATCAATACTGCAATAACCCAACTCACAAAGCCAGCAATCTAAATACCAAACAAGTTAATGCATACAAAATACTCCTGTGACCACAAGACTGTCTCCAAAATTGCCCCTGCAACTTATACTGGCAATCATGCAGCATATCAACAAATGCCTGCATTGACAGAGAATCATGTAAACACAATGGGCAAATTCAAACAACCTGTTTTGGAGTCTGCTGGAACAACTCGAGGACTCGTGTCACCTTAGAGCCAATTATAAAAAACACACACAAGCAATATATTCCCTGTTTGGTCCCATGGGTCTCTTTGAGCAAGCTAAAGCAATGAAAATGGAAGAACAGAAGAGAAGAAGTGTGGGCTATGAATCCAGCATAATGATGACAGTGCTTTACAAGGCTTTGGTGTCTTGTCCTCTCACAGGACTGCAAAGACTGCCTGTACACCACAGATCCCCTGTGTTTACGCAGAAGCTGGACCTATCCCTGCCTGTCAATAATCATTAATATAATGTAAATATATTCATGCTATACTGCTGCTATAAACTTGGATTGATAGTATGTGGCAAAGGAGTAATGTAATGCACAATTTATCGTTTTAAGCTCTAGGGGAATATGAGTGGAATTTGTTCATGTATTCTATGGTAATGCTACTGTCTGACTTTAAACTGCCAAGAAAATAATACCATAAAATTTTATGTGGCAACTTTAGAAGGTGGTGTTGAGATTATTGTCTAAGATAATGTTTATGTTTGAAAAATTATGCATTGCATACTACAAGTATTTTTTGTTTTTGGCTCACTCTTCTTTACAATGTTATTTAAGCTCATTGAGATTTGTGGCTGTTTGATTATGCCCAACTCTTTTAAGGTTATTCCAGGAGAGTTGAGGTTT